GCGGGTCCTGGGGAGCCCCGCTGCCGGGCGCCGCCGCGTGTCGGCCGTGTCTCCCCAACGGGCGTCTCGCCCCCTTCTTCAAAGCGAGCTGCCCTCGTCTCGTAAACAAGAGCTGGAAAAAGTAGCCCGGCATGTCGGGGCAGATCCAGATCAAAGGGGCGGGAAGGCGGCTCTGTTTGTTTGTGGTGTTTACCGGGGGTCTTTGAAGAAAGGTCCTAAAATCCACTTTGGGGCAGAGCTGCTGTGTGTCAGCTGCTTTCTCTTGCGGGGCGCTAACCGGGCTGGTATGAGCGCTGCCTCGGCGGGGCAGGGGGGAAGCAGGATTTGCCCAGTGGAGAGCGCGTGATAAATGTTTTGCCGATGACTGTACCAGTAATGGATCGGGCTCCAGCCACCCACGGATTCCCTCACACCACTACGCTAGGAGAATGATTTCCCAGTAATTAAAGAGCTCTTTTAGGACCGAGGCATGGACAGGGACATGTTTATCACGCTATTAGCCAATTATACATTGCATAGATTTTTTCTTTTTAAGTGTCGTCCTAGAGACACTTTACACAAGGGTGCTCCGATGTAGTCAACTCGTCTTCTTTTTATTCAATATTATTTATAACTCTACACTTTGGTGCCGTATTTCTAATGAAATACCTTTCTTTTAAGGATAAGAAATCCTGGAAGTATAGAATATATACCTAGATAAACATTACTTGGAGTATTAGCATTCAAATAGCCAGCTGAGGATGTGGCTTTTAGAGTTAGCATTTCAAAGAGAAGCGGGTGAAACAGATAGGCAGTCACCCTGCTCGAGCAGTGAATTCCAGAGCAGGAGATCTGCAGATTAGGCACAGTGCCTGTCATTTCTTCGCCTTGCACTGTCTTGCAGGCATAAAAGATGAAAAGTTTGTCAAACGCTGAAGCATCAGATCGATCTTAATGCTTGCTCTGTGTGAACGACTTGTGCCATGACTTTATCTCCTTGTCCTTGATGATGTTGATCGGCGCGCCGATTGTAATAGACAGGTTTTCATCAGCGTGAACGTTTATAACTTCCTCCATAGGTAGCTTGCGGCTGGCTGAACAGTGTTGCCTTTTATTTGCAAAGCCTCACGTGATATGCGTGCCATCATCTTTCCTAGTCGGTAAGAAATGTGGATTATGGTCTGGTTTGTTTTTTCTAGACGAGATGTGAAATGGAGAAATACCTGGCACCTCAGCTCCCGCCCGTTCCCGTCATCCCCGAACATAAGAAATACAGAAGAGACAGTGCCTCGGTTGTAGACCAGTTTTTCACTGACAGCGAAGGCTTGCCTTACAGCATCAACATGAACGTCTTCCTCCCCGACATAAGCCACCTGAGAACTGGCCTGTACAAATCCCAGCGACCCTGCGTAACCCACATCAAGACAGAGCCGGTCGCCATCTTCAGTCACCAGAGCGAAACTACTGCCCCTGCCCCTGCCCCCACTCAGGCCCTCCCCGAATTTACCAGCATCTTTAGCTCCCACCAGACTCCTGATGTGAACAACATTTTCATTAAGCAAGAGCTTCCTACTCCAGACGTTCATCTCTCTGTCACGCCCCAGCAAGGCCAGCTGTATCAGCTCTTGAGCTCGCCGGATTTAGACATGCCCAACACCACCGCTCAGGCGGGCGTGATGGACTCCCTGAACAACGTGTCCGTGCCGTCAGCCATGGCGGGCCTTAACACGCTCTCCTCCGCTGTCCCACAGACTGCCATGAAACAGTTCCAGGGCATCCCCCCCTGCACCTACACCATGCCAAACCAGTTTCTGCAGCAGCAGGCCACTTACTTCCCTCCTTCCCCCCCAAGCTCAGAGCCTGGAAGTCCAGACAGACAAGCAGAGATGCTACAGAATTTAACCCCTCCTCCATCATACGCCGCTACTATAGCTTCCAAGCTGGCAATTCACAACCCGAATTTACCCGCGACTCTGCCCATAACCCCCCAGAACATCCAGCCGGTCAGATACAACAGGAGAAGTAACCCAGATTTGGAGAAGAGACGTATCCACTACTGTGACTACCCCGGTAAGCAACCTGTGCCAGAAAATCCCAGCTCTTGCAATAAAAAAAAGTGCTAATAATCGTCAATGAGGTATAAGTGGTTTTCTTGAGGCGTAGGCCACACCTAGGGAGAACCAAATAATTTCTTGTCAAAGTAGCACTGCTCTTCCTTGTTGTTTTATTTGTGTGGCACACTTTCACGTTCTTTAAAGAATATATACCCTTTTCATCTTGTCATTTGTAATTCTCTTAAATAACTAAGATTATTTTACCATGCTGCAAAACTTGTACTCCTTGGAAAAAAATATAAAAATCATTGAAAAGGATGGCCTTCTCTATGGTAAGTCAATGTGACTGTGCAGCTCGTGCTCTCACTTTGTCAGTACCCGTGATGGAGCAGAAGGTCACTTTGTCCAACACAGTACAGCTCAGTTTGAATCTGCTGGCACTGAAAAATTTATTTCGGCTCCCAGCAGCCAAGGCCATGGCCGAGTCTTCCCTGTTACAAATGGGGAATTCAGCTGCCTGCACAAATCCATTAAAGCTACATCTGAAAATTGTCCACAGATAGATAGATTCCCTTCCAGCCTCTGCTTCTCCTGCGCTGAAGGCAGAGAGGGATCTGAGTATGAACTGTGGCTCCATGTAGTAGGTGATGGCAGATACAAGTCACTCACGTCCATCCGAGCACCGAGAGAAATGGCTGCTCGTGTTGATCCCCTTTACCAAGACAACTCTCGGAGGTGTGTCACCAGTTTGGTGTGCCGTAATGGCAGATGCTGAGCAGAGGAGTTATGCTGAGCCTTGGGTAGAGTTGACACCAAGTCTGGCCTGATCAGATTCTCTAGGAAGTTTTTAAAAAGTAAAGTCCCCCTCTGAGTTGTTAATTCAGGTCACAGGTGTTACTGTATGCAGCTTGTAGGAGCTATGGGTGTATGCTGCGTTACAGGGTGGTAAGTCTACCAGAAACATACACATTTTTCTCTTTGTCTGTGTAAAGTAACATACCTGCAGGAGCTTTCAATAGCAAATTTTGCTCCTAAATGGTGGTGATACCAGAAGGTAGTGAACTTAAATGCGTCACCTAGTGAGGGAGTTTAAGCGTAACATGGAGCGTTCCTGTTCTCCCTGCTGAAGTGCCTCTGTGCTTTTTTGTTCTGTTTTGTTGTAGGCTGCACAAAAGTTTATACAAAGTCGTCTCATTTAAAAGCACACCTGAGAACTCACACAGGTATGTACTCACTCCCTCTCTGTCCCTTGTTTGTTCATGGCTTACACATTTTCTGAGAAAGCAAGCACATTTGAACTGCCACCCTCTCCCTGTTTTCTGTAGATGGGTGCGGGTGCCAGCTGGCCGTTCAGAAAAAATTAAGGTTTGGTTAATTAGAAGGAAAATTGCTTTTATTCCTAATGCAGTTTGGTTAAACCTTTTATAATACAGAACTCAAAATAGCTAAAAGCAGAACAGAGGGAAACTTTCCTTTTAAATTTAAAATGACATGAAGTGTAAAAAAAAAAAAAAAAAAAAAAGGACTTTTTGTTCCCTTGAATAATGAATAGTTATTTTCAAGATTTATCTAAACAGATAAAATTTTCTTTGACCTGTTAGAATTACTTTATTGTAGAATTTTTCAGAAACATCATGAGAACTCCCAAGATAGCTCCATTTACTTCATCCTTAGCATTAAATGTGCTTGCTTTTTTTTCTTCTTTTAAGACAAGTGGTTCTATATACTTACTGTTTTTAAAAAAGACATCATTTCAAGGTTTTTTTGTCAATGAAGACATTCAGATGGAGGAAGTGAAAAGTGTGAGACCATCACACTTGGGTTTCATACCTCGATCAAATTCTGCCTGCAGCTTCAGAGGCAGTCCTTGTTCATGGGCCCATGGCACAGAGCTGGGGCTGGGGGTGGAACCACCCTAGGTGCTCCTCTAAGCGTTCACCTGCCGAGGCAGAGGGATGGAGGAGAGAGGGAAACAGGGAGGAAAACATAGCTCACCAACAGCAGCCCTGAAGCCACTGAGGACGTTTTTTTGCTGGACTTTTAGTACAGAACTGCTGATGGTAAATCGGTGAAAAGCACGTGGCTGATTTTGTAATGAAATCAAATGAGAGGGCTGTGACTCCTGTTTACAAAACCAAGTATGAACCTCAGCGTTTTTATGCACGGACCTCAGTTCAGGGCAAAACACAAGTCACAGTTCAAGCAGCTCACTTATTGAAGCAGGCTGTCGGCGCAGCGGCTACGCTGTTCAAGTACTGGGGTTTCACCTAAGTTTAAACCAAAAGTCAAAACAAAACTTAGCATGAGCTATGATCTAACAAAATGTTTCACCATCTCTATGGAAACACGGCCTTCTATTCAGCAGCTGTTTTGAATGGATCGTTAGATTATCGTAAAGAAATTGAGTATCTCCGGGCTAAATGTTACTATGGAAATTTTGTTTTGATAAATGAAAGAGTTATCTGTGTTGCAGCCACACTGAAAAATTAAAAGCAACTGTAAAAAGATTATCGCCTTGCGTTAGTAAGAGGCTAAACAGGAGCGCTATTAAAATATTTTTGATATATATAATCACTCATTAGCAGTAAGCTTAGTAAGAAAGGAATATTTTCATGAGGCTATAAATCTGAATGTCAGAGTATAATGCCATTGCTCTTTAATAAATAATCTGTAAATTTAAGAGGCTGCAATTTCTACTTAGGTGCTCTAGCGAGCAACTAAATACCAGTTTTAAATGTCGCTTGCTATTGTACAGTAACTAGGAAGAGAGATAAAACATACATTTTTCCTTTTTAAAATCAATTGACATCTTTTTTTGTACCTTGAGCAGTAATGACTTTAGGGTTTATAAGGTTAATACTTGCATGCATAGAAGTAAGTACCACATTGCTAATATATGTTGCTTAGGGACATTAGCATTTACTGTTGCCTTCACTTTTTTACCTATAGATATTTGACCTTAGAAATGTGGATAAATGTACAAAGGTCAGAGGAGCTGATGTATTCATGGAAACAAGAATGTTGTTTTAGATAAAAATCTAGTGAACTTAAGCAGGTCTGTAATACAAAGGGTCTTCTGGGGAGGTGAATGGAGGGATAAACTGTCTACAGAGTGTTACATGCAGGAATGTGAGGCTGTATCCTGTTACCTGCGTTATTTCAGAGTTTGTATTAGTTCAACTCTCTTGAATATTCCCGTAATATTTGAAGATTTCCAGCACCAATTCTGATCTCTGCCTAAACCTATGATTGAAATGTGTATTGCGAGAAAGATCCCTGTCTTAACCCAGCATGGTAAATTGATTAAACGTTTAAGTAAACGGGCACAAACTCGGGGAAACCTGTGAAGTTGCACAGCTCCCCCAGCAGTGCAGGGGAATCACGCTATTGATCTCCAAAGAGAAGGGCTCCATGCCGAGGGCTAAATTTGGGTGTGTGCCTCTGTGCATCCCATCCCCCAGAACTGTGAACTCGTACAGCATTATTAAGCTTTGATTTTTTTTTTTTTTTCAAAGAAGGACTTTTGTGAAGCTTTTACCTTCAAAGTCTAAAGCAAGTGTCACGTAATCCATTTTAATAAAGTTGTGTGTGATATTCTTTCAAATCCCTTCAGGGACAGCAGACCTGTTTATCTGGCTAAACCTGTTCTTCAGTTAGTAATCATCGACCACTGAAGTTGTTTTCTCCTTATTCTTAGTTTCTTAACAATACCTTTTAAAATTGGCTGCAGTCTCTCTCTCATCCTAACCAGTCCCCACCCTTCTCAGAAATCTGTCATCTTAAAATAAAAGAGCCTGCAGCAGAGTTTGTCTGCCATTAAAAGTCAAGACAGACCTTATAGTTTTCCTTTTGTATTGGAAAATCTCGTCCTTTTCACAGTATTTATTTAGCAGCCTTTCTCTTCTGAAAGGCTTTCACTGAGTTTAGTAGACATTCTTTGAGAACAAACCTACAGGAAATGTTCCTTTTGATTGGTGGAATGTAGGCAGTAGTCTTTTTTCCAAGTCAGGTATGAACACACTGTCAGACTTCATGAATTACATTTCAATAAAACTATAGGAAATGAGCAAGAGGAAAATCCCTTACATTTTTTTCTTAGGTGTTCCCAAGGTGTTTTCCCTAC